CCTACCGAAGAGACCATCCCCATCCCGGTTTCGGCAAAGGACCCAACTTGGGTACTTCAGATCAGTGCTTCTGTTGAGGAACCCCTGCGGTTTCAAGTGGTAAGTTTCTTACTCGAAAATTTAGATGTTTTTGCATGGTCAGCGGCAGAAATGCCCGGCATAGACCCCAGCATTATACACTGATCCTGTAGTTAGGCTTGTTAGACAGAAGAAATGCAACCTAGCCCCAGAGCGATGGAGGGCAGTCGACGAGGAGGTCAGGAATCTCCTTGCAGCTGATTTTATTAGGGAAATCCATTACCCGAGCTGGTGGCCAACCCCGTTCTGGTGAATAAGGCTAACGGTAAATGGTGCATGTGCGTCGACTACACCAACCTGAACTGAGCTTGCCCAAAGGACTGCTTCCCACTTCACATGATCGACCGTCTAGTGGACGCGACCTCGGGGCACAAGTTGCTGAGCTTCTTGGATGCCTATTCGGGCTACAATTAGATCAAGATGGACCCAGCTGACGAAGAGAAAACTGCCTTCATAACCGAGTTCGGCCTGTACTGTTACAAGGTCATGCCTTTCGGGTTGAAAAACAATGGGGCCACTTTTCAAAGACTTGTAAATAAACTATTTGAGCCATTGATTGGCAAAAAAGTAGAGTGTTATGTAGACGACATGGTCATCAAAACCCAATTTTCACATGATTTAATACAAGATTTACATTCAGTTTTTGAAATCTTGCATAGATTTAATATGAAACTAAATCCGAACAAGTGTGTCTTCGGTGTCACCTCGGGTAAGTTCCTAGGGTACATCGTTAACCGGGGAGGCATTGAGGCCAACCCAGACAAAATCAAAGCCATCCTAGAAATGAGACCACCCCGGAAGTTGAAGGAGGTTCAAAAGTTGAATGGCCGGTTAGCCGCTCTGAGCCGCTTCATGTCCAAGTTAGCAGATCGCTGCCTGCCCTTCTTTAAGGCCGTAAAAAGCAAAGGCTTTGAATGGACCGAAAAGTGCTTGCTCCCGTTCAACGAGCTCAAAAAATACCTCGCCAGCATCCCAGTCTTAACTCGACCCGAAGAGGGTGATGTTTTAGAGCTATACCTCTC